TGAATAGTATTAATAAATATCAATTAAAATGTTTTTAACTATGACTTTTATAAGTGAATTTTGAATCAAATATAAAATCGTTATTCCTTTTATTAAAAAAAGATTATCTTTGCTGATGTTATTAGCAAAATTAGTTAAATTAAAGTTTAAAAAATAAGATTTTGTTCTATGTTTTCTTTAATAAATTAAATGCGTAGTTTAAGTTGTTTTAAAAAGTATAACATTGTTGGGGATCAATATTCACTTAACTATAGGATAAAAACTATTATATTATGTTGCTTTGAGTATATTTTAATATTGTGCTTTAATAATTGGAAGAGATATATTCTTATCTATCAAAAAGAATATGAATAATACTGTATAAAAAATGATTAAAAAATAAGAATTATAGAATATATACTAAGAGCATTAAGGAATTATTAGGAATTTAATAAATTCTAAATCATAAATCTATTCCATAAAAGGTAATTAAACCTAAAAATGAAAGGTCGAATCCAGAAATCAAGACTAATAAGGTATATGAAAATATATTTGGACTTAATTTATGGCCTGAAACGGAATATTAATTCAGTAAAATTTGTAAAAAACCTTACATTTTAAAGAGTAGAATATCGGGTTTTTACATTATAATTAAAAAGAGGGCTTCAAACTTCATTTAAGCTTCTTCAATTAATTAATCGTTTGTTATATAAGTAAGTCATCCTAGTATTTTTTAATAAAAGCATTTTTGTTTAAATAAATATCTATTTTAGAAATTTTATTTAAAAATATTTCTATTATTTAAAACTTGCAATTATCGAATATTCAATTTTCTATATGAATTTAGAATTGATTAGTAAGAGATTATTCATTAATTTTTAATAAAATATTTTTATCATTTAAAAAATAATAATATTTTCATCAGAATTTATCAATTTAATAATATTGCATATATTCCTTGTAGGAAAATGAATGATTTGATGTATATATATAGAAATTTAAAATTGAAACCTAACATTATTTTATGGGGAATCCTTTTTCAAATTTAACAATAGGCAAAAAGCCTTAAATAATTATGCTTGGATTCGACTACTCAGGAAAAACAACAATTTTACATAAATTAAAATTAGGAAATATAGAATAGCTAGTTCCATTTATTGGATTTAAAATTGAAAAAATAAGAACTCAACAATTAGAAATAATATCTTGGGATGTTGGTGGTGCAGATAAAATAAGAATAATTTGGAAACCTTACTATTAGAATGGCAAAGGATTAATTTATGTTATAGATTGTTTAGAAAGAGAAAGAATGGCTGAAGTAATAGGAGAGTTATATAAATTGATGCTAGATCCTATATTAAATGGTTTACCTTTATTAATATATGCAAATAAATAAGACTTAATGAAATTGAACTCTGAAGAACTAGCATCTGAAATATTAATGGAGAAAATTTCTAAAAATTATTATATTTAACCTTGTTGTGCAATTACAGGAGAAGGTTTAGAAGATGGACTCAAATGGATGTAATAATAGATAGAATGAAATATATAGAATTTCTTATTATATAAAATAAAACTGATTAACACTTATTCTTATATCTTTAGCTTTTCTTTTAAGAATGTCTTAAAGATAGAAGAGAATCAACCCACAACAATTTGAATCAATATATATTTACTAAATGGAAATAGTAAAAAGAGAGAGTTGCCAGGCCTTGCTATATTCAAATAATACAATGATTTAGTTAAGTTCTAATCTTAATTTTAAATAAAAAGAAACGAAAAGAGAAGTTAAGTACCCTTATTCAATAAGACAGCCAAAAGGTGATAATTAAGCTTTTATTTAATGAGCTATATAGATTACTAAAATATTAATCATTGATTGACTAATTCTTTATAATTTACACAATTGAGAATTTAGAAAAGGTATATCTTCTCAAATCCGATGAATTAATGGTTTTGAACTAAATCTCATAAAATAAATTCATTTTTCAAAGCCTACTTTGACAATTTTTGAATTATATAATATAGTGTGTAATTGATAATATTAAATTCAAATTATTTTGTAATTTTTAAATAAATAATTTTCTAAATCAATTTTTGATTCAATGGATTAATATAGAATAATTATGAAATTTCTTAATTAAAATGAGGAGGACTTCAACAAATAGAGAATAATAAATAAGATAAACATTGTCTAATAAATATATTAATAATTGCATTTAATTTTTGAATATGTCATCAAAACTCTNATTTAAAATTGAAACCTAACATTATTTTATGGGGAATCCTTTTTCAAATTTAACAATAGGCAAAAAGTCTTAAATAATTATGCTTGGATTCGACTACTCAGGAAAAACAACAATTTTACATAAATTAAAATTAGGAAATATAGAATATCTAGTTCCAAATATTGGATTTAATATAGAAAAACTTAGAACTTAACAATTTGAAATAATATCTTGGGATGTTGGTGGTGCAGATAAAATAAGAATAATTTGGAAACCTTACTATTAGAATGGCAAAGGATTAATTTATGTTATAGATTGTTCAGATAGAGAAAGAATGGCAGAAGTAATAGGAGAGTTATATAAATTGATGCTAGATCCTATATTAAATGGTTTACCTTTATTAATATATGCAAATAAATAAGACTTAATGAAATTGAACTCTGAAGAACTAGCATCTGAAATAATGATGGAGAAAATTTCTAAAAATTGTTATATTTAACCTTGTTGTGCAATTACAGGAGAAGGTTTAGAAGATGGACTCAAATGGATGTAATTATAGATAAAATGAAATATATAGAATTGCTTATTATATAAAATAAAACTAATTAAAACTTATTCTTATATCTTTAGCTTTTCTTTTAAGAAAGTCTTAAAGATAGAAGAAAATCAACCCACAACAATTTGAATCAATATATATTTACTAAATGGAAATCGTAAAAAGAGAGAGTTGCCAGGCCTTGCTATATTCAAATAATACAATGATTTAGTTAAGTTGGAATCTTAATTTTAAATGAAAAGAAAAGAAAAGAGAAGTTAAGTTCCCTTATACAATAAGACAGCAAAAAGGTGATAATTAAGCTTTTATTTAATAAGCTATATAGATTATTAAAATAATTAAATATTATTTAGGAAACTATTAATCATCGATTGACAAATTCTTTATAATTTACTTTATTGAGAATTTAGAAAAGATACATCTTCTCAAATTCGATGAATTAGTGGTTTTGAACTAAATCTCATAAAATACTTTCATTTTTCAAAGCCTACTTTGACAATTTTTGAATTATTTGATTATGGAAGGTTGAAAAATAAATGAGTTAGCTTGTCATTTATAAGTTCTTTTAACTTTTCAATTTATTGAAGCTTCATTATAATATAGTGTGTAATTGATAATATTAAATTCAAATTATTTTGTAATTTTTAAATAAATAATTTTCTAAATCAATTTTTGATTCAATGGATTAATATAGAATAATTATGAAATTTCTTAATTAAAATGAGGAGGACTTCAACAAATAGAGAATAATAAATAAGATAAACATTGTCTAATAAATATATTAATAATTGCATTTAATTTTTGAATATGTCATCAAAACTCTTAAAACTTTTAACTATGCTTCTTATATTTAATATGCCTGTAATCTCTAAATAAAAATGTTTGACAAAATAAACAAAAATAAAATCAATTATTAGAGGTCATTATCAAAATGTACTACACTAATACAAAGGTGCTCGAATCTCATCAAAAATAACAAATGGTTTTTTAGGAGTTAATAATGGAAGCTGTCTTAGAGATAGTATTTACACATTATCTACATATACTTGGAGTCCAACTGGATATTCAATAACATTAGATTTATTACAAAAGTATGAATTAAATTCTTTAAAAATATGGTTTTAGGATGGAGATAATAGATTTTACAGAATTAGAATTTACATAATATTTGAAAATTCAGAAACTTAGATTTATGATAATTTTGCATAAAGTGTATTTACAATTAAATTTTCTGATTAAATGGTTAAAGGTTTTAGGATTTAGTAATATTTATAATTAAATAAATTACCTATACTAAGTGTTGCAGGAAATACATACAATCCTTACTTACATTTTATAAAGGTTGAAGCTTATTATTAATTATAAATGAATATATGAAAATGAATTATATGATTAAAATATAATATTAATGGTTGAATAACTTTCAGTTATTTATTTAATTAATAAAATGAATTTCTATTAATGATAATATTTATTTGACTATCATGATAGTATATTGAAAATGCTATATAAATTATTATTTTAATAAAGATTTTTTACACATATTTATCTGAAATTATGTGAAAATAATTTAACTTTATTTTTATTATATTGATAAATCGCTTTTAAAAAATAGTCATGAAAGCTAATCTAAATACCCATTTATTAGCATCATAATCCAAATATTAAAAAGTCACATCTATTTACTTGATCCTAAGTCTAATATTATAGAGCTCACAATCAACAATAGTTTATCAAAATCTATTTAATAGTTTTTTTTCAGATAGTAAAATAATATCGTATTATTTAAGCTTGAATAGCTATCAAATAGAAAGTGATAATCAGAATAAAATAATAATAATTTACATATTCTTCAATTTATTTATTTTTTGAATCTTAGCTAATTAATAATTATTGTTCTATATTTTCAATTAATTAATTAATTAATTTAATTAAAAAGTTAAGAACTTTATAATTATATCCTTTATTGAATCAAAAATTAAGATAATTTACTCATATCTATACTTTAAGCAGGAATATTGAACTCTTAATTTTCTTTATAATTTGCTGATAGAATTTGAATGTCTTCTTCTAAATTTACCATTTATCCTTATGAATCTGTTGTATTTTAATTCGTTTTAATTTTCTTTTAATAATGTTCAATATTATCTGATAATTTACATAGTGTATCCTTAAATATCCCTCAAATTTTGAAGTTTAAATTTAAAGTTATTTCAAATTCTCATTTTTAATTTTACTCAATTCTTATTTATATTCTTCATGTCCTTAATCATTAATTTAGCCTTATCATAAAGAAAAATGCTTTTTGTTCCAAATATATCAAGAATGCCTTTTGCACATAGGAATTTCTTATTACAAGAAATACTTAAATCTACAGCAATAATCTCATAATTATCATGCATTTAACAACATCTCTTGGAAATCTGATCTGGATGTTTCGTTACCATTTCTATTATTAATAATGATAATTTAATGAAAACTATTTAGATATATAGTATTTTAAAGATAATAGAATAACAATTATTACTGAAATATTAATTAATATCTATTTATGATTATATATATAATTCAATATAATAATAAATTATTAATGAACATAATGGTTAAGTAATTGGATTATCCATAAATCAAGATAGTAAAAAGTTAGTTCTTGTGCTAGAGATTAACAAATTTTATGAATAGAAAGATCTAATGGATAATTGTGGTATATTAAACAAAATATTTTTGAAAATTGTTATCTTATTCCATTTATAACAACAAATATATTTGCATTTCAACCCTGTAGTGGTAAACATTTACAATTCTATACAATTGATCATTCCACTGGATTATATGTAAAATCAAAGGAATTCTAAGTTTAAGGAGTTGGATAAGATTGTTAGTAGTATTTTCGCTAAATATATATATCCTCCGGATAACTTACTTTCTAAAAATGAATATTGTGTAAATTTAATATAATTCAATTTTGATTATTAAAATTGGGATTGCGAATTTATAGAAGATATTGAGTTTGATTAACGTGGAAATTTTGGAAACATTTTTGGGACAATGGTTGACAATGGAGAATATTTTTTAACTTGGGATTCTACGTCTGGTAATATAGAGATCAGATAATTCACTTATAAAAATGAAATGAATGATCATTTAATTATTAATTAAATTTTTATGTAATTACTATTTCAATCATCATTAGAATTAAGTATAAATATTAATTTATAACAATAACATTATGTATTTTAGAATTAATCATCAAAGTAAGAAAATAAATTAAATATTTATGTTACTTTTCTTCTCTAAATATTAATGTATTGATTAATTAAAATATTAAAATTTACATCAGACTCTAAGAGATATTAATAATTTAAATCAGAATTACTATTATACCATATATTAGAGAATTATTTTAAATATCGTTTTCATACAAATATATAAACATCATATTACAATACTTGAATGATACAAATTATTATAAATTACTCTAAACTTTGTAAATAAAACACAGTAAATATATTAAAAATGATTTTTAATTAATCTTCTTCTCATATAAAATATCAAAAAACTAAAGCTGCTTACGTTATTTATTAGAGATTATACATTAATAATATTTTAACAAATGAAAGACTCCTAATAACATGAAGACCTTATTATATATGATAATATAAATATTGTATTGATTTCTATAAACACCAATAACTCTTATAATAAATTTATAAATAAGAATAAGGGAATCAATTATTTCATAATATATATTTCAAAAAATATAAATATTGTAAAAATTGTCATAATTATAATGATTTAAAATTTAACTTGAAATTAGATATTTACTTTAGACTGAATTACATATTCAATATAAAATAATATTTATTTTCAGGTTTTGATTAGATCAATAATAACTAAATAATTTTATTATATGTGAATAGCAAATAAAAAAAAAGATAGTAGTG